TAGGTCCGAGACAAAAGGGTTGGAATCAGCCATGAGAATCTCACTGGTAACCTTGAGAAGGCCAATTTGGCATAGGGTGGGGCCAGGAACTTGATTATGAGCAGCCAAAGAGAGGTGTTAAACTAGAGTGTGTGGCTTTGAGAGGAAAAAGGACTCTGCAGTAACTTGAAAGGGGGGTGTGGGGCAAAGAGGTGAGACAGCATTACCAAGTGAAGATTGGCTGCTGTTGGGATGTGCATATGTCATCTGCGGACAGGGCAAAGAAATGTGGAAGAATGGAAGACTACCACTGTTGGAGCTGAATGATGGCAGAAGAGCTGGCTCTGGAAAGGAGGCGCATAGAGAGCTGAGCTTAGAAAGGCAGAGGGAACGCATGAAGGGTCAGAGAGTTAAAGGCAGAGTGGTGAGAATTCAAGTACGTCATGTCTGTTGGCCTTTATTTTTGTAGTAATGTCTGTGGTTGGTTTATCTGATGTGAAAGCAAACTTGGAGACTTTGGGTGCCTGCAAGACATGAAAGGGGGCTCAGAGTAATATCTGTGGGTTTGGCACCTGAAAGCTTCACCACCTTTGTTAATCCTTTTAGGTAGAAGCAGGATGAGGTGACATAACCTAGGGGTAATACCTGCTCATCTACATGGGCAGAAATCCTGACTCCTGTGGTGGAGCTCTTCCCAGGAATTCTGGCAAAGGGCTTATCATCTCTCTCTCTCTCTCTCTCTCTCTCTCTCTCTCTCTCTCTCTCTCTCTCTCTCTGTGTGTGTGTGTGTGTGTGTGTGTGTGTGTCTCCCATTTTCTTGCAGTTGAGTTGAATTATTTCCAGAGAAAATGATAGCATGATTCTTAAGAACCAACTGACTAGTGCTATTTCTCAAGTCTTGACATGCCTGGTTACCGACCTAAACCTTTCCTTTTCTACTTGTAATTAAGTTTTTCTTACAAGTTATGTATAGTAATTTCAGGCATCTTAATTATCAGGGCAATAATTGGGAGGTTTCCCTGTTTTCTGGTTCAAGTCAGTGCCAGTTTCATTGCTTTCAGCTCAGTAATAAGTTCTCCTAAAAGAGAAACTGTTCACCGTGTAGGCCTGCTTTAATTGTTAAATAAACAGAACATTAATAGGTCAAATTCAGTGGAAGACATCAGACTGAACCTCTATTCAGAGCAGTATCATCCCTACCACAGGTCTTTTTCTCATTTCTGTCACTGAGTTTGTTAGCTCATAATATTCGTCATGAGTCTTTTGGTTGCAAGTGATAGAAATCCTTCTGTAGAGAGTATAGGCTTAACTTTTTTACAAAAGAAATAGAAAAGCATGAATTGAATCTTGGCCTGTGGAACTGGGGATGCACAGTGAAATGGATTGTTTCAGGCCAAGCTAGACCCAGGGGCTAGATCCTGATATCAGAATTCTCTTTCCAACTCTTCACACTGGTTCCCCTATTTCTTGGTTTTGTTATCATTGGAAACCTCAAACCTGCATCTTTAGAACTTGAAACCCCCAAAAAGGAGAGACCTTCCTCCTTTCACTTCCATATAACAAACTCAGGGAAGTCTGCAGCGTGTGCCTTCTCTGAGCAGTCACCATGGCTTGAGAAATGAAGGTCCGGACCACTAGATCCCTCAGGTGAGGGGTCATGAGAAGTGTTTCCCCAACAGGAAACCTGAAGAAGGGGAAAGAAGGGATGCTAAATTGACATAATCCAAAGAATTCCACTCTAAGTGCCATTGCACAAAACCTAAAGAGTAAAAACAAACCAAAATGAAAAAAGTGAAAAATAAAGCTGTCACAGGCTCTGGCTATTTTCAGAAGGCTCAATGTTCGTCATTTGTTGTTGCTCATGGTAGTCATGACCTTGCCTGGATTAACATCTAGATTAAAGCAATGCAGGCTCCCTCCGGTTGGACTTAGTAGAAGGCTGTGCAGTGATTTCAGAAGGAACACAGCTGATTCCCAAAGCTCTTTAAAATCATCTGTTCCTTCAGGGTCTACCCATACATTTGAGTGGCTTTGATAAAATGGGTTTGCTTCAGTAATCATCTGGTTTCAATCTGGTCAGAAAGGAAACCATCAGAAGAGGTTTGGGCATTTCAGTCCCAACTGAAAGTAGGAAGCACAGAGACTTGTGAAGTTAATATATGTAAAAAGGGTGATGCTGAGAGAGATAGAGAAGGAGGATACATAGAAGTGTGTTGATGACACACCCTGTTACAGACAAGGTTATTTCCTACACAGGGCTGGGCCGTCTAACCCTTCTTATCCTGCCTTCCCCTCACAGGCCTTGCAGTTCCAGAACTACCTCAATACTGTAGAACTGTCTCAGAAGGCTGCTTAATAAAATGCTTCCCCCATCTTCTCCCTATCACACCTACAGGCTATGTCTTGGTGAATATTTCTGTGATAACATAAACATACGAATGTTTAAATTAGAGCTGTCAGATCAAAGTGATAGTTGCCACTATTTTTAAACCACAGTGATATAAGTGACTGTACTCCTCTCTCCCTCCCTAATTTGTAGCTGGTCTGCTCAGCACATCAAAAATCCCCTTAGTCTGTAGATCTTTATAAAAAATGTGGTTTAAAATAGATCCAATAAAGGTGAGAGAGGTAAACTTTATTAAAAAAAAAAACCTTTTACTTATTACTACCTTTTATATATTTGAAGAAAATCTACTAGTCTCACTTGATAAGACAGTATCAGAACTGCAGTACAGTTCAGAGAAAATATGTCAGAATTACTCCTTTTACTGACTTTCAACAAAAATGTTTGCATTTTCCAAGTAGAAATTAGACAAGCCAACAAAGCCAGTTAATAAAACCATCAGTTCTTGGTTCTCAGAGTATGTAGACGACTCAACAAAAGGCCTGGTCACATGAATTCTGATCGTAGCCCCCAACCTACTTGTGCTCACTATTCACGAATTTGTCAGTGTTCAGATTGTAAGAATGAATCTCTTCTTTTCAAGTCTTCCTTTGGACAGGAAATGAGGTTTAAGTTATATTTCTTTCGGTTTTCTGAAATGGACAATTTTTTTATATATATTTTATTTTTATATTCCCCATACAATTGCAACCCCCTTATTTTGACCCCAATCCCTCTCCTCTGCGCCCCCCACCCCCCATAGAGTGTCTCTGGTTCATAGTTGTTTGTTGATTTTGATTTTTACTTTCTTATAGTTATTCTTTTTCCTGGTCCCTTATTTAGGTTTTCTAGATTCCTGCTATGAGTGAGACCATCCGGTATTTTTCTTTTTTCTTTCTGGCTTATTTCGCTGAGCATGATCCCTTCGAGCGCCATCCATGTTGCTGCAAGTTGCATGTGTTTATCTTTTTTGAATGCTAAGTAATATTCCATGGTGTATATGTACCACATCTTCTTGATCCAGTCATCTGTTTTGGGGCATTTGGGTTGTTTCCAAAGCTTAGCTATTGTAAACAGTGCTGCTATAAACATAGGGGTGCAGGTGCTCTTTGGAATTGATGTTTCTGTGTCCTTTGGGTAAATACCTAGGAGTGGAATTGCTGGATCATATGGAAGCTCTATGTTTAGTAGGTCCAGAAATCTCCACACAGCTCTCCATAGTGGTTGGACTAGTTTGCACTCCCACCAACAGTGCAGGAGAGTTCCTTTTTCTCCACATCCTCGCCAACATTTGTTGTTGCTAGTTTTTTTAATATGTGCCATTCTCACTGGTGTAAGATGATGTCTCATGGTAGTTTTGATTTGCATTTCCCTGATTACAAGTGATGTTGAACATTTTTTCATATGCCTGTTGGCCATTTGCATTTCCTCTTCAGAGAAGTTTCTTTTTAGGTCTTCTGCCCATTTTTTGACTGGATTATTTTCTTTGTTTTTGTTGAGTCTCATCAGCTCTTTGTAGATTTTTGTGATCAGTTGAAATGGACAATTTTAAATTACAACTTCATGTATGGAATAAAAGAGGTTCATATGGGTTAAGATCTTGCTGAAGTCACACATTAGGTAAGGGATTGTCCTGTCCCCCACCCCCAGCCCTGTGCTCATTCTAGCCCTTCTGGGCTCTCTCTCTGATCTAGTAGCTCATCCTTTGAAGACTCAGTGATTTGCCATTTTCCTGTATTTCTTTCACCTTTTCTTTGCTGCGACACAACTGTTGCATATCACAAGGCAAGGATGCCTTCCTTGGCCATTGTCAGGATTGCTGCCATCCTCTGCCCCCTCTCCCTGCATGGGCCAGTCAGGGCGGGGCGTGGGTTCTCTCCACACCCCCATCAGGACGCACGGGCAGGCTGCCACACAGTGTGCTGCCTGTGGGTTTAGGGTTGTGTGGGAAGGTTCAGGAAGCTACACTAGTAAGGAACAAAGATCTCCAATATACTTTTAGCCCTGGCTTTGTTTCATATCTGAGAGATATTTGGGTAAATTTGCTTTTATGTTAAGGAAAAACCAAAGCCCAGAGTTTTTGTGGCAGCCATTCAAATATATTTCCAGTGATGCTCAGAAACTGGACTTGCTTTGAAGGAAAGAGGATGAGGAAGAATAGGATGAGAAATTTAATTGAGATTTTTTTTTTAAGATTTATTTATTTATGCAAGAACTGGGGTACAGTCAGAGGCATGGGAGGATGAGAGAATTCACCAGAGACAGAGCAGGGAGCAGAACAGGAAAACGGCCCGAAGACACTGCTGAGGGGAGCAGCGGGCAAGATAGGAGAGGTCTTCCGCGCCATGTAGATTTCTCCCTGGCCAGCCGGGAATCAAACCAGTGCTGCAGAGGCTGCGGACAGCTTCACAGCATGACACTCAACCCACTGCACCTCCAGGGAAGCCCAATTCTGAGATTTTTAAGGGATGTTGTAATGGAATTAATTTCTACTTTGATGAACTTTTCCTGAAATCCAGCCATGCCTGGGGTGTCTAATCCCTAGGGATGTCTAACCCCATCCCTGTCCCCACTGCATTTATTTCCAGGGACTGATTCCCCTGGTAGTGATGTGTTTGTGTTCTGTTAAATCGATCAGCTTGCCTCGGCCCAATGGCAGGGACTCCGGACCCTGAAGGTGCTGACAAAGATGACCTGCTGCTGCTGAATGAAATCTTCAACGCTTCCTCCCTGGAAGAGGGCGAGTTCAGCAAAGAGTGGGCTGCTGTGTTTGGCGATGGTCGACTAAAGGAGGCGGCGCCCACCGGGTCCCCAGGAGAATCAGACCCCAAACCCCACATGGGCTCGGGATTCCTCCCTTCACAGCTTCTAGACCAAAATATGAAAGACTTACAGGCCTCGCTCCAAGGTATGTGCTATGGAAATTAAATTAAAATGGGGTTTTCTGTTGGTTCACCTCGTTGTTTTTTTTTAATCCCTAGGGTTGTTTTTTTTTTTTTTAATGTAAGAGAATGTCTTTATTCTTTTATTTATTTATTTATTTATTTATTATTTTTTAATTTTATATATTTTTTGCATCATTTTTCATTTTTGCACAATGTATACACTTTCATTTTGGTTATAGTCCCCATTTCTTCCTTGTATTTTCAGTATTCTGTTATTTTAAGACCTTTCTTGTTGTTTTCCTTTGTATTTTACTTTTAGATATGATTTTTTTAATATTTTATTTTATATAATTCTTATATCATTTTTCATTTTGCACAATGTATGCATTTTCATTTTGGTTATATTCCCCATTCAATTGCACCCCCCTTTTTTTGACCCTAATCCTTCCTCTCCCCACCACCCTACACTCCCCCATCTCAGAATCACATTTCAGCTTTAAGGTCTGTTGCTGTTTATTTAAACTCTATTCCTTCACATAATTTTCTCCCCTTGTGAGTATTTCCTATGAATGGAAGATTAGAGGCTCTGTCTTTCTTGGTAGACCCTTCATGATACACAGGAGAAGGTCAGGTTGCCTTCACAGTCGTGGCCCTGTTGGCCTGGCTTGCCCAGCTCTGCTCTGCCCTGGCTGTTTCCTTCTATATGCTCACACTGCGAAGTTCTCTAGGGCCCCATAAACGTGCCCCCTTTCTTTGTTCTGGGATTCGTAACTCTTCTCCCACCAAGTTGCTCTTACCTCCTCCCCAGCCTGACCCACCCTATCCTGCTCCCCTCGCACTGCTGCTCCTGTTCTGCCTAAAACCCGTGACCCAACAGTCATGGCAGAAGTAGTTTCACCATGATCTTCAGCGGTCATTGAAATGTGTAGGATGTAGGGTGCTGAGCTCGTCAGCTTGGTTGGGAATCTCTGGTATAGGGAGCCCATCGGTGAGCATGCAGAAACCAAAACTCAGGTGAAAGTTAAAGTCTGAGTGTCTGAACAAACAGACATCAGGAAGGAAGCCGTGTTCCAGTATGTCAACACTCTTCCGCCTCTCAGGTTGCTTTAATTGTAAGACAGGTATCACTACTAAGAAATTCTCAAATTATTTTGTTTTTGCTATGAATTTAGTCTATCTTCTTAATAAACAACATGTTTATCTGGCACATAAAGCTGAGAACAAACGGCTGAGCTGCAGTGGTTAAGTAATTATGGGCTATTAAAACCTCGGGTCTTTGGAGATGAGATCATGGACTCGGCAAGAGCTGGTGGGCAAGACAGAAAAAAGTCTTCCCTGTTGTCTTTTGGTTTGGGTTTTTTTTTTTTTTCTATGAAATAAGTGATTTCCTCTTATCTGCTTTTTCAAGTCCTGTTTTGTAGTCATCTCATTTACTTTTATAGTGGAGTTAGAGTTAGGAGCGATAAACGAAATCCAAAAATACTTCTGTGCCCTGAGTTTCACCCCTGGGTTTCACCATCTCTTTTGCTGGAGCTCCAGATGAGCGATGCTGCCAATGACTTGAGTTTCACCCCACCCACCTGCAGTGGAGGTGCTAACAAGCGTGGGAGAGCTGGGGCCGAACCAGGAGCCACAACGCAGATCTCAGGGCTGCTGGACATCCTGCAGCAGAGCTGCAGCATGCACCCTGCCGAGCCCCAGCTTTGGAGACACAGGGCCTCTTGCTGCTGCCAAGGAATCTTGGTGGCGTTGCTGCCACTTAGTTGGGCTGATTGGGTGTCATTTGCTCACACACTGACAGCCCGGAAGTCAGAGCTCGTCGTAAGCAGGCAGAGTGAGAAGGTTGAGACCAGTGTTCACTAGGCCAGGAGCTAGGGCCGAGAGTTGTGCCAAGAACATGACCACCAAGTTTGTACTTCAAGTCCTTGGAAAAGGCACAAAACCAAAGCAGGAGATGTTCTAACAGCAAGAGAGACATGTGTGCCCATACTAGTGCTTGGAAATTAAAAAAGGCACTACAAAAGGAGGCCATTTGTTTCTCAGGCAAACAAAGTCCTGCTGGTGATGGCCACCATCCTAGCACTCTAGCAAGTTTCGTGTTCATTCAACAAATATTTATTGGGTGGTTCTGGATGCCACACACTGGAGATTCATCTGAGAACAAAACAGACAAGACTTCTGCCTTTCTGAAACTCACATTCTAATGGAGAGGAGATGCTGAACAAAAATATAACAAAGAAGCAAATCACAAGGTTGGTTAAAAGTCATCCATGTCACAGAAAAAAGGAAAAAGCATGGACAGAGAATGTGGAAGGGACGCAGGGTATGCCAGGCTGCAGAAGAAGACAGAATCATACTGAGAAAATAAGACTAGAGCAAAGACTTGCAGGAGATAAGAAAATGAGCCACATGGAGATTTGGACGGGGGAACCTCTGTGCTGATGCCGAAAGTGGGGGTTTGCATGGAGCAGTGGAGAGTCTGCGGGGAAAGCATTGTAGTTAGAGTCTACTGAGTGAGGGGGAGAGGCCTCATAGACATTGGAAGAAATTGAGCCTTTTTTCCGCCAATGAGAAATGAGGAACCATCAGAGCATCTGAGAACAAGAGTGGTCATGATCTGATTTACTATTTAAAAACATCATTCAGGCTGCTGAAAGTATCCTTTCCTCTACTGGGAAAATCAATATTAGAGAAATTATTTTGTAATCTCTGAGTTATCCTTCTTCCCTTGAATACCAAAAGCTACAGATTGAATATCTATGGAATTGAAAATAACAGGAAAGAAGTCAAACCTTAGTGTTTACAAGAAGGAACAGCCCATTCAGCTTCTACCACACCTACACATTCCTAGCAAGCACACCACCCCTGCTGCTGCCCCCTGATTCAGGGAACCCCCAGAACATACATGAGACAAATAAAGGGCTGCTGCCTGCTTCTATAATGGATCATTTTACCCAAACAAACACATTCTGTGCCTTTGTCCTCACCTCCCTCTAGAAGACGAGGAGATGAATATTGGCAGTAGATGTTTTTCCTACTTCCTTCCTGGTCCAGAAGAGTCCATCTCTATCTACATGAATTGCAAAAGCATCTAAATAACTTCAACTTTTGTCACCTTGAAATTGTGCCCCTGATTAATCAGACCATCTCAAAAACTAAATTAGTAAACCACGTCAGTAAGTAGTGAACTAAATATGGAGTGGAAAGGCTGCGTGGTATTTGGCTTAGTCACACCCATAGTTGCAGAGCGCTGAGAGCCCAGGTTCTACTCTTCTAGTCTACAAACTCCCTTCTCATCTTCTAACACTCCCCTGAGCCTATGACTCCTGTCTATTAAGTCGGCAGTTGGACTCACCACCAAGTCCTCCCAGCTTTCCACATGCCATTTTGTCCCCAAGTTAACCCCCACTTCAGAGATGCTGAGATCTAAAATTGTGCCATCCTGTGAAGGTGCCATTTGTCACTGGAAAAGCTGCAGTAACCATGCTTAACATGGCGCATGCTATGTGCCCTGCACTTCCCAGGCAGGGAGTGTTATCATTTCCATTTTTCAGCCCAGGAAACAAAGGGACAGAGTGGCTAAGTGATCTGACCAACATTGGGGAGGAGGCAGGATTTTGAGCCCAAAGCATCTGACTCATAATCTGTGCCTTTAACCCTTGTGTTCTGTTGCCTCTTGGTGCCATGTTTTGTTTTTTGGGGTTTTTTTAAAGATTTATTTATTTTTATACAAGAACTGGGGTACAGCCCAGATGCACAGGAGGGTAAGAAGATTCACCAGAGACAGACCGGGGAACAGAACAGGCAGACTGATGAAGTACATTGCTGAGGCGAGCAGTGGGCAAGACAGGAGAGGTCTGCTTTGCCATGTGGGATTCTGGCCGGCCGGCTGGGATCAAACACGTGCTGCAGAGGCTACGGACAGCTTCACAGTGCAGCGCTCAACCGCCTGCGCCACCAGGGAGGCCCTGGTGCCGTGTTTTTGATGGCAAAGGTCTTTTCAGGCCTCTCCTTGGGTGATCCAGGAGGAGCAGGACTTGGAGTGATGAGCTGACCCTGGACATTCTGGGTTCACACCAGGATAGGCATACCGGGTGCTCCTGAAGGAAGAATGTGTGTGTGGAGAGACAAAACCATGTTCACCACAAAAATTGGATGAATGTTCCAGAACAGAACATTGACACGGAAGCTCTCTACAAAATCCTTACCTGTGCTGGCATCATCCGCGGGTTACCAGAGTGCACACCTGTCTAGTCTCACTGCTCCCACTCTCCACGCAGGGCCTGCTGGGGCTATGTCCTCAGGGTCAGGATGTCAAGAGGACTGAGGAAGAGTGCTCCAGGTGTAGCCTCAGTGACCTCTGTGCCCTTCCATGCATGGCACATTCCGCTCTGCTCCTTCTTTCTCCTCTGTCTTTTCTGTCTTCGCTCCTCTTCATCTGCCAGTTCTCCTCTGACCTCCTCCCTCTCTTTATTGGCTTCTCATTCTCTTCTTCAGTACTCTTGGGTGATGGAAAGGAAAAGGGATTTAGTAAGGGAACAATTACATCTTCCTTCCCCTCCTACTTCAAACTCTCAGAGAGCAAAATAAAGGATCTTACATGTAGGATCAAGTTGTGCTGAAAATTTGAAGTAGTTAATTTTAGCTGGGATTTCTAAGAGTTTCAGAAGTTACCAGCATGATAGGGGCTGGAGTTTCCTGTGTCATACAGTGATGAGAAAATTGTACCTTCCTGAGGCCTCTTAAAGTAAGTAGGAAGAGAGCCAGCCAGAGAAGCTGCCGGAGGTAGAAACTAGGCAAGGCTGACGGGGCTCATATTTGACATTCTTTTACTCCCCCAGTAGTGTCCAAAATTTAATTAAGGAATGGATATTAATACTGAAGAGATTACAATCTGCTCACTGTAAATGCACCAGGGCATCTTTAAGTTAGGATTCTGCAAGCCAGAGTCAGGAGTCTTGTTCTAGATTCTCAGAAGCATGCAGCCCCATGTTCCTTCTGGATCATCTTTTATTTCACCCAT